TCGTGGGTAAGAACCTCACTTCTTCAGATGTCTTGCATCTGTGAGGTTCTTACCCACGAAAGCTTATGCTCCCAATACTTCTGTTAGTCTCAAAGGTGCCACAGGACCCTCTGTTGCTTTTCACTTCCAAAGCATTGTGACAAGTAAACACAGAAATAGATCCCTCCAGATAAGTCTGTAGTCATCTGATATAATGTTATCAGTCTGGCATGAACATTAGGCCTATACAGTTAGGCCACTGATGTGCAGAGACCACTGTGTACGATGCTGACCAATATTGTCTCATAATTTCCTTTTTCTCCCTCCTGGCTCTCTCTGTTTCCAGCTGTTCTCTCTTGTCTTATACTTTGATTGTAAACTCTCTAGGGCAGGGATCGTCTTTTTGTTCTGCGTTTGTACAGCGCCTGGCACAATAGAGCCCTGGTCCCTGGCTGGGCTCCTAGGCGCTGTGGTAACACATGTAATAAATAACAACAGCAGCACTCAATGTGACCTCAAAGGCAATTCAACAAGAGGTGTGAATGTGCACTGCAGAATCAGTAGGTGCAGAACCAGCCCTTAATCTGTTACAACTCTACCCTGATATAACGCGACCCGATATACACGAATTCGGATCTAACGCGGTAAAGCAGTGCTCCGGGGGGGCGGGGCTGCGCAATCCGGGGGATCAAAGCAAGCTTCACCTATAATGCGGTAAGATTTTTTGGCTCCCGAGGACAGCGTTACATCGAGGTAGAGGTGTATATGTGTCTGTCACAAAAATTCCCCTTCCCTCATGTAGCTGATTCAAGGGCATAGCAACACCATCACAGTGTAAAATACTGGAGTGGGGTTATCCCAATAGGATCATTGTCTGCCAAAAACATTTGTCAAACCGTTTCATTTGTTGTAAGCTTCCGGGCTGAGTTGCAGCCCTTCTTGTATAACTCAGTATCATCCTTCAACCCGAGCTGTTGTGTCCTGTAAAATGCAGCCCCGTGGGTCTAATGCGTCTTTGTAAACAACAGCCCTGAAGAAACAGCGGCTTCCCATCTTTCCCCCGTGACAAGGCCAGTGTGGGATAATATCAATTTATTTCCCCCCCAACCAAATATTGGTTGGCGCCAATCACCTCATCCTTTACACAGCAAAATGCCATTCTGATTGCTACCAGAACATTTTCTTTTCGTTTCTTTCCAGGTTTACCCATTTCTCAGGCCATCCGTGTCCTAAAGGATAAACTCGTGGCGTGTGAGCCAAAGCTGAGTCCATTCAAACCGTGTGTCTTGGGTGAATACTTCTATCACACGCTCATCAGGCACTACCAGCTCTACCAGTTTGTGCTGTGTCGGGAGAGAGACGTCGAACAGACGTCTGCCCACCTAGAAATCTGTGTGCCACCACAGCCTCTGCCGCTGATGGCAGGCATCGAGGCTGAAGTCTGGCACTATCAGCAGCAACTGGCTGCCCTCTCAGCCGCTGAGGTCCAAAAACGTACCAACATGCTGCTCCTCCGAGAGACGCTCCACCTGGAGAGGGAGCATATGTTGCAAAGAGCGTATGATGATCTGAAATCGCGAGCAGAGATCCTAGACAGACAGGTAACACTGTAGTAGCTGTAGAGAAATGGGTACTTCATACTGAAAGGGATGCAGTGTGCTCCACAGGCGAGGATACAACAAGTCAGGAGACCTGGATTCAGCTTCTGGGTCTGGCACTGATTCACTTTGTGACCTTGGGCATGTCACTTCACCTTCTGTGGCCTCAATTGTCACCAGCCCCTGGGACAATGTTCCCCAGAGACATGCCTGGGGTGGCCAGGAATCCGTGGCACATGCATGGAGGTTCTTCCTATTTATGATGATCCTTAGGTATTTTGACATGAGTTGAAAGAAGAACAGGAGTACTTGTGGCACCTTAGAGACTAAAAAATAAGCTTTCGTGGGCTACAGCCCACTTCTTCGGATATCGTAGCCCATGAAAGCTTATGCTCTAATAAATTTGTTAGTCTCTAAGGTGCCACAAGTACTCCTGTTCTTTTTGCGGATACAGACTAACACGGCTGCTACTCTGAAACTTGACATGAGTTGTGAAGTTTTATTTCTAGAATTTTGCAAGTGACAGAGATGGGCACAAACCAAAACCCCATTTCCAAACTCTCCTGAGCATGGGGGTTTCACAATCCAGACTTCTAATTTGGGGGAGTTTGGATTTGGCATGTGGAGTCAATGGATCCGTTATAAAGGATGCTTAGTGGAAGGCATCCAGATGCCACACTGACGGGCAACCTTATAAAACCCTGCATAGATGTTACCCCCTTCGTGCTTCATTGCACGATGCCCCTTGGCAGTCTCTCCTCGTGTTCCTGTCAACCTCTTTCTGTTCCTATCACAAGCATGTTACTGGATCTTAACAAAGAATAATAACAGTTCCCCCTTGCCTGGAGGTGAGGTAAGAGCTGGAATCCCAAACAGTTACAGAGCGAATGGTTTGGGACTATGGCATGTAGCGTATTCCTGTTGGGCCTTGATATACCTACTCTCTGCCCACATTGCATGCCTTTTCCCTGCTACCTGACGCGTAGCAGGAGCTGTTGGGATTGAGCAAGAGTTGAATAATGCAGTATGGGAAGTGGAGTTACCTCTGCTCCTCTGGGTAGTTGACTCCTGCACAAGAGGTGTTGGGCATGTGACTTGCTCCTGCAAAGTAACCCTGCCTATCCCAGTACAAGGTCAGGCTTCACCTAGGGTATGTTTAAACTGCAATGCAAGCCCAGGGTTAGTGGGACTTGAGTCAGTGGATCATGAGTTAGCGAAATCAGGGCTTGAGTGTCTCCACTGATTGTCAACTCTAGGTTAAGAATTTTCTAACTTACACTTGAACCCAGGACTCTGATGTCCACACTGCAGCATGCAGCCCTGAGTCAAACCACCCGTATCCCAGACTCCCTAGCATCCTCCCAAAACATAGCCACTCTAGCTCTTTGACCGTAGTACAATGTAGGAAAAGTTAGCAGTCCACCCTGCACGTTACAGGAAGTTTGAACAGCCCACCAACACATCCTGCCAAGCAGGCATTTTGGTCTGTGTGCTCCCATCAACCAGACCCGGCAACGTGAAGAAGTCATCTCGCTTGCACTTTCATTCCTGGTTCAGGAAACAGGCAGGGCTTCCATGAGATGCTGGTGGGCATTTTGGCAGAGTTTTCACAGATTGATATTTTCTTTTTAACTCTTACCATTGGGGCACACCATGCTGTTGATTCAGAGATTTTCTTGATTATGCTAATCCTTTCCATTCTCTTAGACTCCCTTTCCATTGTATGAAGTAATGGGATAGGAATCCTCAGAGGTATATGTACACTATATGGTTCCGCATTGTCTCTTAAGGTTATTTGCACTGGACCTCCTCTCAAAAGTCCAAATATCACCAAATATTAAAACCCTGTCCTCAAGCTTGTGCAGCCAGCCCGAGCCTTTCCTCTTGTCATAAGGCCCTGTCCAGAACTGTGACCATCAGTTCAACACAGAAACGCTTCCTCTTGGAACGGTCCATGAAGGTACATGGACCCAGGCTTTTGCTGCAGTGAGGGCGAGCTGTGGAGATACAACAGCCTGTAGAGGTCGAGGGGCCTAGACTAGGACAAGGCATAGCAGGTTATGGTCTCAAATAGCTCAACGCAGGAGCACAGAAAAAATCCTTGGGGAATTTCAAGGGCATAAAATGTTACTTTTCCAAACTGAACTTCAATATATTGTGAGAGAGATGCTGCCGACCACAGAAGCACCCTGGACGCAGCCAGGTTAATCACAGTGAAGAAGTGCAGAGACAATAGTGAATTAAAAAATATAATCTGTTGGGTTTTTTTAAAAAAAATTTCAGAACAACTTGGGTTTTGGGAGGTGCCATCAGAGGCTATGCTGCCAAAGGCTATCATTTCAGGCCTTCCACATTTTGGAGGCCATAACAGTTCTCGTGGTGCCCGATTGACAAAGGGAGATGTTATTCCAAGTTGCGGTGGGAAACCAGCAGCGTATGCAACTAAAGTATTCAAAGAAGTGGGCTGTAGTCCACGAAAGCTTATGCTCTAATACATGTGTTAGTCTCTAAGGTGCCACAAGTACTCCTGTTCTTCTTTTTAAAGTATTCAAATCTGTAGTGACTGAACAGCACATCTGTGAGTGGAGTGGGCTGGTAAGCTACTGAGGTGGCCTTGGATAATACACCCTTGCCTGAAATTGACTACCTATCCGGAGTTCCTGTTATAGGAAAAGTTTGCTGCTTTCAGCACCGGTGATTGGGTCAGAATTCATGGGGGAATCAACAGGACGCTGTGTTAGCTTCCACATGGCTTAGCCTGTTATGACTACATGGAAACACACAGAGCTCCACAGCCCCCACCCCCCTTCCCTGGCACACATCTGGACAAAACTTCAAACCCCAGTCATATTTGGGACAGATGATTTTGTCACCTATGGACTACCTTTAACTGAAATCAACTGGACTTGTAAATGAGATCCATTTTCACCCACAGTTCACTGTTTCCAGGCAGTTCGTTACACCGTTGAGTGGTTACAGAGAAGTGTACTTACAGGCATGGAAACATAAGGTTATTATTTTTAAGAAACAGGAATGCCCGAGCAATCATCCGGAGCTTTCATACTCCTGGTAGGGTCCCGCTTGGCAAGCAGATCTGAGGCGAGGCTCCTGACTAACTGCTGTCCAAACGTCACAAGACCCCAGTGGTGGATCAGGTGCCTATAGAGGACCTTTTACTCATCTGTGGCTGTGAAGGCAGATGAGGGCTGCGGCAGAAGGGAGGACCCTGGTGAGCTTGGATCTCCTTGCCGCTGGGTCAGGGTTTTCTTCCTGTCAAGTCTCGTATGGTCACCACCTGCGCACCAGTTTCCCCACATTAAAAGATGGACGAGTGGCAGTAAAGACAGGAGCAGTGATCTCTGGGAGTCTTTAGTCACAAATCTGCACGCCGCCGGCAGCTGTGTGACAGTCATCTTGTGCTTGGATGAGACAGAAGTGCAGGCCTTTTTAGGATCCCCTCTGCTCACCCCAAATGGGGAGGGGGCTAGAAAAGGTGCCCCAGACACAGGCCGTCTCACACTCTTCCGACTGGATGGCCGTATCCAGTGGGATCACTCAACTCCACAGCCGAAACAAGAGATCTAAGACAATGAATTTCACCACCTGGAATGGCCGCACCTTATGGACTCTCAGCGCAGTGAATGCCCAGAAAGAAGAACTGCCATAATTGCGAGAGAACTGGCAAGACTCAACGCTGACATTGCAGCCCTTAGTGAGACCCGCCAAGCCAATGAGGGCCAATTAAAAGAGGATGGAGGTGGCTACACCTTCTTTTGGAAAGGAAAGCCACCTGAAGAGAAACGCATTCATGGGATTGGCTTTGCCATCAAAAATAAGATCGCCAGTCTGCTTTTGGAGCTTCCCGTGGGGATCCACAGGCGTCTCATGACTCTTCGGCTCAAGCTCAGCGACAACCAATATGCCACGATCATCAGTGCACACGCTCCAACACGCGATGATGAAGAAGACAATAAGGAGCAGTTTTATAGCACTCTTGATGCATTCTCACAGCCACACCTAAGACAGAACAAACTCATTCTCCTGGGAGATTTTAATGCCAGAGTCAGACGGGACTTCCAACTCTGGAGAGGCACAATGGGCAAAGAAGGGGTGGGAAATGTAAACCCCAATGGTATTCTCCTCCTCAGAAAATGCGTGGAGCATGACCTGCTCATCACAAATACCCTCTTCAGGCAGAGTAACAAATTTAAGACCACCTAGAAACATCCTCAGTCCAAACACTGGCACCTCCTTGACTATGTTATAATCAGAGCCCGAGATTATGCTAATGTCCATATAACGTGAGCCATGAGAGGTACAGATCACTGCTGGACAGACCAACGATTAGTAAGAGCAATCATGTATCTGCAGCTCACTCCACCACACGGCAAACACCCAAAGACTAAGTGAAAGTGGTACAATGTCAAAGCACTTCAAGACCAAGCCAGCTGTGAGATGTTCCAGCAACATCTGTCTGAGAAACTCTCTAACCTGCCTGACAATATCATTGACATTCAAGAGCACTGGGATCAACTTAAAAATACCATTCACAATGCATGTGCTGAACCTATAGGTTCTTTCACTCAAGACATGGGGGGCTGCATCTACGTTGCAAAGCAAAAGAGCTTGAACCCTGGATCCTGGCTTGACTCAGGCTTGGAACCCTCAACCCTCACAGGGTCCTGGGTCCAAACCAGAGTCTGAGAGATGCGTGTGTAGATAGAAGGGGGATTGGGCTCAAGTCTGGGTCTGAACCTGGGCTTACACCGCTGTGTAGACATATCCCTAGCCAATGACAAAGAAAAAAGTTAGGAAGGGTGTTCCTTGTCTAAGAGCCCAATCCAACTCCCAGTGAAGTCTGCAGACTCTCCTTGACTTAGTGAACCTGAGCTTCTCCTCCCTTTTCCTTGGTGGAAACTTTAAGAGGGTTACTGAAAACTGAAGCAGGGCAGAGTATGGGGTTGCAAAGAGAACACCAGCGTCCTGGGGTAAGCAGAAGTGCAGGACCAGCCACAGAACACATGTGATTCCAATACAGCTGGTTGAAAAATGGCGAGCGTTTTCTGTAGGACATTTTTTTTTCAGTGACAAACTGAAGCCAAAAAGGGAAACATTTTTAGTTTTTGGAAAAACATTTATTGGCTAAAATTTTTTTACCAAAACCTGAAAATTCTTGCTGAACATGTTTTAGGTTTTGATTTCTGGCTTTCACTGAAACACAGGACATTTCGACCAAAATTAAACGTTTCATTAAAAGCAAAACACCATTTTTCACTGCAAAGTGTTTTGACCAGCTATAGTGCTCATTATCACTGCCTCGGGAAAGCTTTATTCATTAATTCTTATTAATTATTATTGTGACACATCTAGGAGCCCCACTGTTCTAGCACTGTGCAAACACGGTCCCTGCCCCAAAGAGCTAACAATGGGAATAAATCCAAGGGGCCCCTTCACATCACGCCCAGTCCCCCAATGACCTTTTGAAAATATACGTGTAATCTCCCCCCATCTTCTTTCCAACCTTCTCTCCTCCACTTCCGAGCCAAAGTTCATCACCAAACTACCATTCCAGTTCACCTTCTGCACACGTTCACGTTGATCCCCCTCTGATACTTGGATTTTGAGCACCCTCACTTTCATACATTCGTAGCTATATTGGAGCTTGGGAGTTCCTCAACCCGGGTTGCTACTTCATTGTGTCCAGAGAAGAAGCATAGGAGGCTCCCGCTCTGGAGTGATAGAAGACCTGCTGAACCAACTAGTGCCTTCAGTTATCCCTTATGCCATTCCACTAGAGTTAATGGGCATCTACCCTGGGAAACTGCGAAATGGACCCAGGGCAGAATTTGGCTGGTGATCCATAACCAAGTCTCGTTTCAGTTGTAGGTGAGCATTTTTCACCCTGGCACAAAGCACGCTTTGGGATGATTCTCATGAAATGCTCATCGCTCGCTCAGCTCAGAGCAACTAAAGGCATATTTTTAAACAGCGGCGCTAAGGAGTGTGTACTCTGCCCTCCTGTTCCTTTCAGGTTTATACCGTCACTGCAGTGTGCATAATGCTGTACAAAACCTCACACCAAAAAAGAACTCGATAAATTCATGGAGTACAGGTCCATCAATGGCTATTAGCCAGAATGGGCAGGAATGGTGTCCCTAGCCTCTGTTTGCCAGAAGCTGGGAATGGGTGACAGGGGATGGATCACTTGATGATTACCTGTTCCGTTCATTCCTTCTGGGGCACCTGGCATTGGCCACTGTCGGAAGACAAGATACTAGGCTAGATGGACCTTTGGTCTGACCCAGTGTGGCTGTTCTTATGTTCTTATATTCCCTGCTCCAAAAAGAGAGACATTGAGAAGCCAGGACTCATGGAAGACCCAGAGCATGGTATCAGGGACTTTCTCCCACCTTTTTTATTGTTAGTACTGTTATGAGCTGAGTGAAACCTTGTTATGGGCTGAGTTAATACCTCATGGAGGTTTGTAGGTGTGAGCTCACCTTTCAGTTAACATCACTGTAAATATAAGCCCCACCTATGGCAAAAGGTGTATGCCAACTCACCCAGGAGCTTTTTTAGCTGAGTATTGTTTTGGGTAGTGTGTGTGTGTGTGTGTGTGTGTGTAGGGTGACCAGACAGCACATGTGAAAAATTGGGATGGGGGTGGGGGTAATAGGCGCCTATATAAAACAAAGCCCCAAATATCGGGACTGTGCCTATAAAATTGGGACATCTGGTCACGCTAGTGTGTGGTGTGTGGAGAGAGAGATTACACAGAGAATGAGGCAGGCAAGAACACACAGAGAGAGAGGGAGAGAGAGAGCCTGAAGGAGCAGCTGAAAGTGTCTGGCTGACTTTGGAAGAAACCTTTTGGGTTTGCGGGTCGGGGTGCAGGGTGAAAAGCTTGGTGCTATGAGCAAAAGAAGCTGTTTCCTTTTATTTGATTCATTCTGTGTTCAGAGCCACAGGACTCTTTGCATTCTTTGTAGATCAACAAAACTGCCTCAAAGAAACACCTGATGATCATCAATTTCTACTCCCAACTGGAACACCCCTTGCACCCCAAACTTTGTCCAGCAACTTGGGTCCAAAAGGGGCAGCTATGCTATTGACCCACTCGTTATAATTTTGTGGCATCCACAGCATATTAGGCATTTCATACAAAAAGCACAGGTCCCTGTCCTGGAGATCTTAAACTCCACAAGCCACCTTTCCCCCTGCTGACTAAGACATTACTGCAACTTTCAGCAGGAGTGCTCACAGAGTAAGGTACTAATGTGAGTGAGGGTTTGAGAACGCAGCCCCAAAGGATGGATGTGACAGACCAGCGAGGGTACAACATGCGCGATGACGGGACATGGCAAAGAAGGACGTGAGTTATGGATGTGATGACACAGTTACTCAGCTGACCACACCATGAATGTCTTGGCAGGAGAAATGAGGCTTTAATAAGGATGGGAATAATCACACCTCGCTCTTGTATAGCACTTTTCCTCAGTGGTGGTTAGAGAACTTTACAAAGGAGGGCAGGGTCGTTATCCCCAGGTTACAGATGGGGAAAGTGAATGAGACCTGCATCTGAGGTGATGGAACTTGGGTTTGTTTTACTTCCAGTGACTTTGTAATCTGAGCATGGAGTGGTACATCTCACGGGTCTATGTCAGGCTGCTCTCAGCTCCCTACCTCAGTGACCTGTGTATTAATGGAAGGGAGAAAAGCCTTGGACCAAAGTCTGTGATCCGTACCCTGTGGGAATTTTGCTTGAGTAAAGGCTGCAGGATTTGCCTCCTTGTATTTAAACAAGCAGATCCTCTTCTCCTGCATGAACGAGAACCCCTCACTACACTAAATTCATTTGGGAAAAGCTACAAGAAAAGTACATTTCACCACTGATGCTGCTTGTTCGCGCTTTACTGAGCTTGGACAGTGAATCTGGAGAGGTCAGAGTCAACCCCCCTGTTCTCCTGCCCTCACACAATGCCGCTGTGTTAGGATGGCCCAAACCCTTTTTTTTAACCACGCTTAACTGGTGGGAACTAAACTACTTGACAGTGACACTTTAATAGGGGCGACAGTCCTGAGGCTTTGTCCACAACTTTAATTCTGGATCCCACCCTGTATTCATCACATTCAAGTCTTTTGGTGCAAGAGCATGCAGCTCCCATGCAAGCACTGAACTCCTAATGACGTCAATGGGAGTCTTGGGTGTGCAAAAAAATGCAGACTCAGGCTCTTTGTGGCTAGGGTATGTATTGGGCTGCCACTTCCAGTCTCATTCCATAACCAGCTGTGAAGAGTTTGTAACACTTCGGGAAAAAAGTACATTAACCTGCCAGAGCTTGCAGTACAGGTTCTCAGCCCAGGAGCAAATCGTTTTGGAAATTTAATTAAACTCCAACGAGGCACTTTTATTATGGGGCCATCTGTCTCGTGGAATTAACGTACAGTAATGTGCGGGTGGCTAATTGCTCTGTTGGCAAGTTCAAGTCAAGCAGAGACGATCCTCTCAAATCACCTTTTGAACTCCCGCAAACAGCAGAGAAGAGCAGCCAGGAAGGTCTAACTGGTTCTTTAAGCACGGCAGGCTCCTTATGTGGGTCAGTCCCAGTATAGGACTGGAAACTCCCTCCAAGTTTCCTTCATGGCTCTCAGTGGGGTGGGGGTCTTGCTCCTCCTCTTTGCGGAATCAGCTGGGGTGAGGGGGAGTTGGCCCATAGATCAGGTTAGATCTCAGGAGATCTGGTGGTAGCCTGGGCCATCTGCATGGAGGCCTCTGTTATACTGACTGTAAATGCAACACTCTGTGCTTCTATGCTGTCTCACAGCCCCTCCCCAACCTTCTTGGCAGCGTGGCTTCGATGAAGCAGTATGCCCATGTATTCGCCCTCCCCTCCCTGGTGTTTCAGAGTGTAGAGGGGAACCTGCCTTCAGAGTCATCCGTGACTCATGCAGAGAATTTCTGCAGTGGTAAGTGGAGGGTGCTGCTCTGGAGAATGGCCACCTCCCAGGCGTGCCCAGGCCCGAACCTTCTCCAGCAGCAGATCCCAAGCCTCGCCGAGCTGCCTAGAAGGACCTTCCACCAGGCTGGGGGAAAGGTAATGCCGCTACACAGGAGGCACCTCACCACCTTTTCTTCCCCCCTCCTCCCCACTTCCTTCATTCACTGCCAGCTTGGCCTAGGATCAGTTCAAAGGGAATGGCCCCTTTGTAATGTAATACAGGTAGTAAAAAGAGAGACGCAATTAACCACATCCCTCCTCTTCTTCCGCTTGCTCTTCAGATTTTGGAGACCCTAGTGAAAGAAGTGATCGGGACCCAGATCCAAGCTCTCCATGAGATCCTGCAGACTGAGATCCAGACCACCTTCGAGATCTTGGAGCTGAGACTCCAGAAGAGGGCCTTGAGCCTGAACCCTCCTGTCCCCTACCCCCCACCTCCTCCTCTTGAAGAACGAACAAAGAAATCAACCAAAGCTCAAGAGCAGAAAAAGAAGAAGAAGTGAGGAGATGCGGGTTGATGTAGCACTTGGCAGAAATCCCTGACTGACCTGTAATAATCATGGATTGTGCTTTTCAGTCCTGAAGACCATATAACCTGCCTTGGGTTTTAAATGCTCCATCCATAGCTTGATGCTGGGCTGTTTGTTCACCTTGCCCTGGCTGGAATGGGTATTAATATGGAAGATGGAAGTGTTGCTAGCATAGCTTTGGACGCTACGACTTTATTGTCCTCTTAACGGCTTCCTGATGCAATGCTGGCCCTCTGAATTTGGCAATAAAGACCAAGAGACCCGTCTAACAAATGTATGGCCTGACTCTCCTCGACCCGTCTTATTCTGCTGATGGGAATCGGGCAATCTGGGATCATCTAGTGCCCCTGGTTGGGCCTGGCTGGGTGACTTTGCACGAGTCATTCACTATTGCTATGCCTTACTTTACCCATTTGTAAAAGAGGGCTGATGATAATAATAATACCACTCCCTAGGGGTGACGTGAGGCCTAGTGCAATACCTCTGAGACCCTCACACGAAAGGTGAACAAAGTATTGGTATTCCTCACTCCCATCAATCAGTTTAATCTCTAGAAGCCTCAGGGCTGTTAAAATCTGCCCTCTAGAGGTTCATGATGGGTCCTTGTCCATGACTTAGTATCGCCAACTCCAGCGATTCTGGGTGTTTTTTTGTCCATCTCATGAAACCTGATGAAAGGCCCTGCTGTACGAATATTCCCATATTCAAAATGGCCACTGTCCCCAATTACTGTCAATGGGACTAAAGCCAGCAAATGGGCACTGTTTCCCTATGGCCTATCTGCACATGCAGGCAGTCCTTAACAGCGTTGGCTGCCACCTCTCACTGTTTTCAGTGGGAGTGAAGCCAGGCCCAGAGAAGATGGCTGCCACACTATGGTTCAGGGGCCTGGACAGGACACAGTAGAGACATTGTGAAAAGGGGATGGGAGAGTGAGGGGGGAGCAGGAGGCAGATTTAGAGGCGGCAGGGAGATGTGGGGGGCAGGTGAGAGGCTGAGGGGGCAGGGGGATGTGGGGGGCAGGTGAGAGGCTGAGGGGGCAGGGGAATGTGGGGGAA